ACCGCTGTCTCTTTTGCTAATGGTGTCCTGTTTAAACGGCTCACCATCATAATGAAATCTGGCATGTGTTGCGGTATAAATACTGCAGTAAGGCACTATAGTATCAGGTGGGTTTAAGAGAAATTGTTCGTACCATTACATCTGCAAAGAGACGTCCTAGTCCACAATTGCGTAGGGGGCCCACAGGCTGTCAATGATGGGGCTCCTAAGAGGTTGTGGGCCCGTAAGCAACTGCTGTCTCTGCTTACTGATATTTACGGCATTGTCTTTCAGCATTTCTAGTGTTTGTGTGTCCATTTAGCTTAGCTGTTCATTTCAGCTCTGCCACTCAGGATATATTTTGAAAATGGCTGGGAATTGCAAGAACAAAGTTGTCTGACATGTTTATGAGAAAAAGAGGAAGAGCTCAGAGGAAAGACAGAAAGAAAGAAAAATTACTAGCATGTATTCTGGAGATTCTTTCATGCAATAGTGGAGGAGCAGGTAGGAATGTGGTGTGCATGCGAAGTTATTCATGTGACTGTAGTGACCAAAATTTCTGTAAAAAAATCAAGGAATATACCTTTAACTCTAGGTAATTATTTTTGAGGTTGTGAAAAAAAATCATTATTTTGTTGTCTAACATTACCCCTTTCTGTGGTCCCCTGCCTGATCTGACCAGTGATGGCATGTTTGTGGCGTGTCGTCATTAAACCACTGGTTTTGTAGGGGGTGTCCTGAAAGCAATGTGGGCTACTACGAGGCCATGAAGACTCTATACCAGGCTATCTCTGAGCTCCAATCTGCACAGAGAGAGTTTTCATCATTGCTGAGGATTTTAACCAGGCTAACATGAAGACTCTTCTCCCTCATTTCTACCAACATGTGGACTTTGCAACTCAGGGTGAAAACACTTTAGACCTGGTTTACTATAACATCAAAGATGCATTCAGAGCAGCCCCCCGCCCCCACCTCGGGTCATCAGATCGTCTATCTGTCATGCTAATTCCTGCATATAAGTCCCAGCTGATCAGGGCTAAACCAACAGTTAAAGAGGTCAGAGTGTGGTCTGAGGGCGCCATGGAGACACTCCAAGACTGTTTTAAATGCTCTGACTGGAACATCTTCAAGGCTGCAGCAACATATGACAACTTATTAAATATTGATGAGTATGCCATGACTGTGTCAGCCTACATCAAGAAATGCATTGAGGACGTCAGCATCACTAAGAACATCATCATCCAACCAACCACCCTGGATTAATTGAGAGGTTCAGAAATCACTAAAAGCACCAAACTCATCTTCCAAGTCTGGTGATAAAGAGGCACTGAGAACAGTGTGTGCCAGCTTAAACTGTGCCAGCAGATTAACGAAGCAGAACCACAGCCAGAAGATCCAGGATCTTTTCCACGACGCCAGCAACACCAGGAGGATGTGGAAAGGCATTCGGATGATCACAGACTACAACACCCCCCCCAAATCAAAAAAGTACCTCATTGTGGCAGAAGCATTATTACCGCCAGCTTGTAAAAAGCCAATATTAATTACATGCTTTCCCCGACGAGGCCAAAGATATAGCTAACGTGCTTGTTTTGGATGATGCTATGCGAATTGTGAACTTCGGGAAGACGCAACTTTTGAAATGGCGCTTCTTTGCTTCTTTGTGTGAAGAAATGGGAGAGGAACATCAAATCTTATTGTTCTAAATGGATGTCCGGTGTTTGTTGCCAGACAAAGCGCTGGTCCGTGTATAATAAATTGCGAGAGGAACTTGACGTATTTCTGACAAACGAGAGGTCGAAAAACTCACCAGCATCGGCTCAAAGCGGCTTGCAAGTGATGGGTGGTGTGCAATGCTGGCATACCTGGCTGATATATTTCATTATCTGAATGAACTGAACAAACGGACGACTGACCAAAATAAAAAACCTGCTTACTGATAAAATGAATGGGTAGCAGCTCTGGCAACAACATGTGCAGCGTGGCAACCTGGAGATTATCCTGCTCAACCAGAAACTCCAAGATGACAACATTGGTGCAATATGGGAGGTGATTGGCACATATTTTAAAACCTTTGAGAAGTTGTCACTTTTTGTTTCTCTTCAGCTTTAACAGAATGTCTTCACTGGATTAGGGACCTGTACAGCTCAGGATCATCTGCTGGAAAGGACATGACTTTAAAGGAGCAGGAAGAGCTCATTGCACTGGAACAAGATCCTGGTTTAAAGCAAAAATGAGCTCTTCTTCCTTTGGACAGTGTGGAGTCAGAATGTTGAGGTATGTTTTCAGTCACAGGCTTCAAAGAAAGGTCACAAGAGCTAAGAATGGGTTCCCTCAGCGTCCCTTATGGCATGAACAGGGGGACGGGAAGATGGCTGTTGTGAGATGTTCCATCTGGCTAGTGAAATATATATTAACCTGACACGAAATGTCCTTGGTGTGGTGGGGATGTGTGTGTTGGGAGTTGTTGTATAAACGTGTGTACTGAACTTGCCCCAGTTAGAGCTTTTTCTCTCCGTCTGCAGACGTAAAAATAAATATGAGTCCTTCCTGCAATAATTGCCTCTGTATGTTTTTTCCGACTGCACAAGAGTTTTTGGTCATCTGTTGCCAAGCTGTTCCTAATCGTGGCCAACAAAACTATTTTGACAATGCCCCACATCTATGTGAGCTGAACCTCTCAAGCTCGACTGCTATAAAAGCTAAAAGCAGATGAGTCTGAGAACTGTCTGCCGTTATTGTCAGGATATCCCTTCAATGTTCATTGAAACAGGCCCAGGTTTCACACTGAGTACGTATAAATACATTTAGAAACCATATTATTAACTATATAATATGTAGTGTGTTAGAGTAGCCTAATAAACTAGCCTTTTAACTGTCCACATTGTCCACTATCTTGCCTGAGGTCTTTGTTTTTCTTCCTGCATTGTGCATGTTTACTTTATGGTCTATTGCAGCCAGATAGTTTGTTGGCAGTGTCTCAGTCTTCACACTCATTATCTAAACCTGAGAGCATTTTATGTAGAGGATGCCATGTTATGTAGCTCTCTTGAGATGATACTGCAGCAGGTAATGGAGTCCCAGTACCCACAGGACTCTGTATTGGGAGATGTTCAGCCTGTGCTGCAACATTAATTCATTCATTAATATCTGTCACAATTTCTTTTCACAAAGCTTTATGTGAAAGATGAATCAGTCTTGGAGGAATTTTCTATTTCTTCATTTGTCTCTAATGCTTCAGTTTGTGGATGAAGAGATTTACTCCTTTGGGAATCTTTGCAAATTTATTAGATTTTGGTCGTGGGCAAGACCCTGTCTGGATGGAGTAAAGAGTGGGTAACAATAGAGAAGCTGCAGAGATGTCTGTTAAACTACGACTCTGCTTCCTGGTCTGGTCTCCGAATCAGACCAGGCTTTTTAAAGTAATACCAATTTATAAAAGTGGAAATAAATAGGAATACTAAAATTATAGACCAAAATCATTACTTACACAATTTTAAGCATAATAGAAAAACAGTTTGTTGCTAGATTAAATAATAGTATTAATAAATACAATATATTAAGTAATAGCCAGTACAGATTTCGATCTAATCACTCTACTGCACAAGCAGTTGATTTGTTAGAAGAAATTTCAATAGATGAAAAAAACAATATTTTCTAAGTATATTTGTCTGTTTCAAAATGTTTTGTATACATGAATCATAAAGTATTACTGGGAAATTTATACAAATATTTATAAATATTGTAGATGAGGGATACCTATAATGGATCACATTTAAAATATTTCTTTTTAAAGAAAAAAAAAGTTATAAGTGGAAGTGGATACAGAGATTATAGAAATACAATATTTATACAGTTAAATTCTATATAAATACTGTACATGAATGACTTCATAGGATATAATATTTTCAAATGTATATTTGAGGCACATGAAAAAATTCCAGCAAGCAATATTCAAGTTTTTCCAAAAGAGAAAGTAAGTATAACTTTAATGGAACATATATTTTCAAAAATACTAGACTTTAGAATAATGATTATGAAGAGATCAATGGGAGTCAACACATGGTCCCTACCAGTGACGTGCGGTGAGGTTCATAGCTGGTGAGGCACTGACGTCATCAGAATCAGATTTGCAAATAGATGCATAGATTGACAGCAGTTTACAGGTTATGTTTCACTTCTGCATCCTTACACATACAAACTGTAGCTCACAAAACACACATTTCCTTAAAAAACAAAACAAAATAAATGTTATTACTGTCTTACCTTTACTTATAAATGAATAGAAGTCCTCCTTATCTTCCTTCAGTTTTAAAAGTCTCTCTGTCTCAATGGAGATCACTGCCAGGGAAGAAAGCCTTCCTTGATCCGTCCTGTTCCTGCCTTATGTTTTCAGTCTCTTGAGCACCCCCTGCCATGAGGCAAGAGAACTGCCTGCCTCACCTCGAACTTGTTCTCTGCCGTTTATAATCGCTCATTACACGAAACACGTTACACAAACACAGTTGGTGACAAAAAGCTCTGTACATTATATACATAAGCCAAATTATTAGAAATAAGTTCACATATTACATTTGTTTAAACCATTTTATTGACGCCGTACAGCAACATGCTCTCTCCGCTTTGCAGCCAGCGCAGAGCCAGGGGTTGCGCAATCCAAGGTGAGGCAGAGCTCGCTGCTGCCTCACCGGCATCGCTTCCAAGCATTTGAATGGGAAAATAAGAAAATTCAGCGATTTTGAACAAATAAAAATCGAAATTGGTGAAGCTACATGAAAAATGAATATTTTTTAGTACAAACCACCGGATGAATATAACAATTTAAATTACTTTATGATTATATATTTTCTTTCTTTCCATGATGGCTGGTGAGGCACTGCCTCACCTGCCTCCCCTGACCGCACGTCACTGGTCCCTACATATAACTATGATGAGAATGTGTATGTGTGAGAGGGAATGCTGTGGTGGGGGTCTACTGTTTCTGTCAGATTGACAAAGAAGGAAGGGAAAAAGATGCCTTCTCAAACTTTTAATTCAATCTTCTTTGCATCTCCTGACTCTCCTGGATGATTGTAGCTCAGGTCCAACTCTTTCAGATGGGAGGGGTTGGATCTCAGAGCTGAGGCCAGAGAAGCACAGCCTTCCTCTGAGATCAGACAGCCTGACAACCTGCAGACACACAGTTTAACACATGAATGGAACAGGAGAATGTTAAGGTAGAACCAAAGTTATGCACATAACATTTTAGGGAAAACCCCCCCAAAACACAAGCTGAACTGAGCAATAAAATGCAACGCTGTGTTTATGTTGTTCTATATTTAATAAAAATGCCATTTAAACTGATTAATCCAGACTAGAACCTGACTGGACAAACTGACAAGCATTTTACAAAAGAGGCTGGCTTTAAGCTTTCTTCAAACTGGACCTAAAATACCAAAGATACACTAGTGGTCGCTGTAGAAACAGTATTATGGTCTTCAGGTTTTTTCACCTCACTGATGGATTTAATGGATGAAGTCCATGATCAGCTGCATATAGTTTATTAAGTATCAAGGGCAGGAAGAGCCATACTACTGAGAACAAACCATCAGTATGAAGCATGAAGCACAGACTTGGAGCTAAGCGAGGGCAAAGACGTGATACTGCACAGCTGGAACAAACGGAGTTACTACGGGTTCTGTGATCATGCAGAATGTGCAGCACTGCAGGCTAGGTGGGCGGTGTGACCAAACAGGAAACAGCGGCATGGCTGATACTATGGAAGCTCATTGGTAGAATTCTCTTATGACAGAAGAAGGCCTCGATTCACACCATCGTCATCCGGAAGGGGGAACATTCATTTACAAAACCGAATTCATACAGCTGTCTTAAATACTTCATACATTCAGCGCTATGTCCTAACATCTGTAATTTCCCCCAACCTTCAATCCATTGTGGGCGGCATTTATAGGCTCCACATCGCACTGTGTGGATGCACGTGCACGACTGGACGCTCTTCCTGGAAATCTCTTAGCTCATGACCTGATTGTGTGCGAGTCAGCCAGTAAGAACCCTGTTTTTGCCACGATTCGTACGTGACTCCCAGCTTGTAGACTCTCTGTTTACATGTTGCATTCTCTGTGTTGCTAAGTGAGCATAAGGTCAGAAACAGGACTACATAACGCAGTACAACTGCTTCCATATTTGGCAAGCCAGCCAGATATTTATATTCTACAGCATTAGAGACTTTATTATTGCTAAGACTTATACTTGAACTTCAAGATGTACTGTTTTGTTGCTAAGTAAGTATAGGGCCATGTTGTAGGATACATTCTGATTCTGATTTCTAATTCTGATATAAGACAATAAAACTGCTTCTACAATACTGCTTAGCAGATTACAGCACAATGATGCATTTTAAACATCTGACAGACTTCTGACAGAACATTTTTATTTAGTCTCTTTGTCAACAAAAACTCAGACCCATAAGTCATCATTTTTTCATCATCAAAGATCCATCTTTAGCTTCACAGTTCTCGTTATCTTCATGAATAAAGGAAAGTCAACAAAATAATTTGGTCATTGTTGATGAAGCACTGGTCAGAAATCTGGTTTTAATATAATAGAGATCATTTACCTGAGAGTTTCTAGTTTGCAGTTTGGATTCTTCAATCCAGCAGATAGAAGCTTCACTCCTGAATCCTGCAGGTTGTTGTTATTCAGGTCCAGTTCTCTGAGACTGGAGGACTGGGAGCTGAGAACTGAGGATAGAGCTGCACAGCTTTTATCTGAGAGGTTACAACCACTCAGTCTGAGGGGACAGGGAGAAATATTTGTTATTTAACAATTAGTCCAAAAATTGGAAACACTGTTGAAAGTGTCTAACTTTATATGTCCCCATGTTCCCTATTGTGATCTGTTTAGTAAAATTAAACTAAAACAACATAAATCCACATTTACTGCAGCATTCAAAGATTTCTCACTATGAACAATAAATGCAGTAACAATCAGTGTCCTTACAGAGCTTTGTTGGAGGCTTTAACCACTGGCAGCAGCCTCAGGAGAACCTCCTCTGAAGCTGAGAACTTCTTCAGGTCAAACACATCCAGATTTTCTCCAGATGAGAATAAAATAAAGACCAGAGCTGACCACTGAGCAGGAGACAGTTTATCTGTGGAGATAGTTCCAGAACTCAGATACTGTTGGATCTCCTGGACCAGAGAACGATCCTTCAGTTCATTCAGACAGTGGAACAGATTGATGCTTTTCTCTGCAGAAACATTCTCACTGATCTTCTTCTTGATGTACTGAAGTGTTTCCTGATTGGTCTGGGAGCTACTTCCTGTCTCTGTCAGCAGACCTTTTAGGAGACTCTGATTGGTCTGCAGTGAAAGTCCCAGAAGGAAGCGGAGGAACAAGTCCAGGTGTCCATTTGGACTCTGTAAGGCCTGGTCTACAGCTACCTGGTGAAGAGAGTTTAGTTTAGGTTTCTGAAAGAGTGAAGAGTGCTGAAAGGTCTTTTGTATTTTTCCCATCAGGTTGATTCCAGAGTTGATGAAGGTCAGATGAACATGAAGAGCAGCCAGAAACTCCTGAACACTCAGATGGACGAAGCAGAACACCTTCTCCTGGTACAGCCCTCTCTCCTCTCTAAAGATCTGTGTGAACACTCCTGAGTAAACTGAGGCTGCTGTGATATCGATGCCACACTCTGTCAGGTCTGATTCATAGAAGATCAGCTTTCCTTTCTTTAACTGATCAAAAGCCAGTTTTCCCAGAGACTCGATCATCTTCCTGCTCTCTGGACTCCAGTGTTGATCTGTTTCAGCTCCTCCATCATACTTGACCTTCTTCACTTTGGTCTGAACCACCAGGAAGTGGATGTACATCTCAGTCAGGGTGCTGGGCAGCTCTCCTCCCTCTCTGGTCTTCAACACTTCCTCCAGAACCGTAGCAGTGATCCAACAGAACACTGGGATGTGACACATGATGTGGAGACTTCTAGATGTCTTCATGTGAGAGATGATCCTGCCTGCCTGCTGCTCATCTGTGAATCTCTTCCTGAAGTACTCCTCCTTCCTAGGGTCAGTGAACCCTCTGACCTCTGTCACCATGCCAACACAGTGAGGAGGGATCTGATTGGCTGCTGCAGGTCGTGTGGTTATCCAGAGGAGAGCAGAGGGAAGCAGTTTCCCCCTGATGAGGTTTATCAGCAGAACATCCACTGAGGTGGACTCTGTAACATCAGTCAGGATCTCCTTGTTGGTGAAGTCCAGAGGAAGTCGACTCTCATCCAGACCATCCAAGATGATCAGAACCTGGAAGTCTTCAAAGCTGCTGATTCCTTTGGTTTCAGGGAAGAAGTGATGAACAAGTTCCACCAAGCTGAACTTTTTCTCTTTCAGCACATTCAGCTCTCTGAAGGTGAATGGAAATATGAACTGGATGTTCTGGTGGGCTTTGCCTTCAGCCCAGTCCAGAGTGAACTTCTGGGTTAAGACTGTTTTCCCAATGCCAGCCACTCCCTGTGTCATCACTGCTCTGATTGGTTCATCTCTTCCAGGTGGGACTTTAAAAATGTCTTCTGGTCTGATTATTGTTTCTGGTCTGTTTGGTTTCCTGGATGCTGCTTCAATCTGTCTGACCTCATGTTCATCATTGACCTCTCCAGTTCCTCCCTCTGTGATGTAGAGCTCTGTGTAGATCTGGTTCAGAGGGGTTGGACTTCCTGCTTTAGCGATTCCCTCAAACACAGACTGGAACTTCTTCTTCAGACCAGATTTAAGTTCATGTTGACAAAATGCAGCATGAAGTTCTAAATAAAAAAATAAAAAAAACCTATTGAGGGAACAAAATTATCTTCTGAAGATTTGTTCGAATAAATGTGATTTAATTTTCATAAATCAAGAAATCTGTGATTTATCCCTCAGGTTAAATCCTTGTAATAATCCTCTTACTGCTCTTTAGACGGTCAGCCAGCTCATCCTCCTTCATCCTCCTCAGGAAGTTCACTGTGATCTTCATCAGTGCTTCTCTGCTGCTCTTCCTCATCTCTTCATCCTCTCCTTCAAACACCTTATCATCATCTCTGTGATGCTCTAGGCATTCTGGACCATCTGGACTCAGAATCTTCTGGATATATTTTAGCTCGTTCTTCACAAAAGTGACAATGTTTTTCTCCAGCAACTGAAACTGAAAGATTTATGATGAAAACATTAGACTGAAATCATGGAGTCAAACATCAGATCCATGTTGGACAGACTGACTGTCTGTTTCACCTTGAAGGCCGCACCATTCCCTGCAGGATAGTGTTTGTAGACCAGACATAGCTTCTTCCCATAACAAACCAGATTCTTTCTCAAGGTTTATTCATAACATGTTACTGTTTAACCAAAGTGTCTGTAATTTGTTTTGACTCTGACTACTTTCCATTATAGTTAGTAAAGGGGGAACGAACGCTGCTCTAGCAGAACAGAGCAGAATGCTGTGCCATAAGGGCTGTATGATGAACTGTTCTCTCTTTGCAAAAATATGAAAAAATGTGCCGACTGAGTGAAATCCATCGATCTCCGTTTATTTAACTAGGATGAATAGTTGAATACTATTTTCCTACTACACAACGCCAGAGATGGCAAAAGTACTCACTTTCCGTACTTGAGTAAAAGTACAGATACTTATGTTAAAAAATACTCTGGTAAAAGTGGAAGTACTGATTAAACTTCTTTACTCAAGTAAAAGTAACAAAGTACAGGCTTGTAAATTTACTTAAAGTATAAAAGTAAAAGTAGAAACCACTTTTTTCATGCCGTTGCCTACATTTTAAATGGATGTCTGCCAATAGGACTAGATCTCCGTTGTGTTCATTTTCAATCATCTCGTCGTCCATGCTACTATGCTAACGCCACCGCCACCAAGCTACAATGATTTGCCGCCAATGAATACCGCCGAATCTGTCGATTCATCTTGTAGTGGTGCGTCAAATGCAACGTAGATTCCCATCCAATTAGATTGAATTTGGTATTGATGAGGTGAAAAATAATAACGGTAACTCCATTGAAACGATTCAAAACTAAAGTAACGAGACAATTTTTTAAAATGTAAGGAGTAGAAAGTACAGATATTTGTGTAAAAATGTAAGGAGTGGAAGTAAAAAGTTGCCATAAAAATAAGTAGTAAAGTAAAGTAAAAATATCAGAAAAATCTACTTGAGTAACGAAGTATTTGTACTTTGTTACTTCCCATCTCTGATGATGAATATAGTATAGTAACACACACAGGTGTGTAACTACTACTGCTTTTAAAAAGTTATAATGAATATAGTATAGTAACACACACAACTCACAAATCAACTCACAAATCAGAGAACTAAGTGAGGACAGACACCAAGAGGTACAGCTCCAGTTGAAGTAATTAGCATGGACTACATTGAGCTCACCCCAAGTGGACAGTACAAGTACTGCCTAGTCCTAGTAAACAATTTTTCTAAATGGGTAGAAATTGTTTCCACAAAACATGCCAATGCACTGACAGTAGCAAAAGTGTTGTATAAACATATCATACCCGAGCATGGTATCCAAAAAAAAATCTTACAAAGTGATAATGGAACACATTTTGTAAATTAAGTGGTATCACTAATGTCTAAACATTTAAACATAAACTTTGAAACATCACTGTTCCTACAATCCACAGAGTGCAGGATTGGTGGAACGAGCTAATGGAGAGGTTAAGAACAGATTGAGAAAATTCATGGCAGAAACAGGAAAGCCATGGTCAGAGTGTTTGCATTTAGTAAAATTACTCATGAGGATTACTCCCATATCTGATGGTTTGACCCCTTTTGAAATAGAATTAGTTTTGTTCTACCCTTATGAAAAGGAAAACAATGGGCAGAAGAGAAAGAAAAAGAACATTGACCCATTAATTAAGTGAATTCTGAACGTGTTCAAATACGGAACTGTTCAAAGAACATGTAATCTGCCCAGAGCTCCTTTTTGTTTCCCCACAGGAAGGCCTGAAGCCTGGAGACCGAGAGCTGATTAAAATCATCAAAGGGAAGAGTTGGGAAGCTCCGAGGTAGGAGGGACCCTACATGGTGCAACTAGCAGCTCCAACCGCTGTGAAGATCCAAGAGGGAGACACTTGGATCCACCAGAGTCATTGTAGGCTGATTAAAAACTTTCCACAGTGAGAAGCCCAATTACCTTCACAGGAACCCCATAACTAAGGTGGGGGATCTGTGGTGAAGTCCAGCTTCAAAGGGGTTTGGTTTTTTTAGGGCCACTCATCTCAACGCTGGTGAAGGAAACAACCTAACCCAGTCCATTAGAGTCCTAGTTAATGGGTGTTTCATTGGAAGAGCTGATGAAGATGGGAAAACTAATGACGTTCATCTGCCTGGTGGTGACCGTTGGACTGGTGTTCCTAGGGACTCAAACTGACTGTCTGAAATAAAGGAAGAGCAGGATGATTTTTGATGGATCCACAGAACGTCATACATACGGTACAATATGTGGTGGCAACATGCCAAACATGTTGCTGAAGATTTGAACAAAACAGACTGTTATGTTTGTACTTATATGCCTACTTCTACCATGCCTACAATCAATGATTCAGAAAATGATAGGATCCACTCTAATCCAATATTCAGCTATCACTTATGCTCAACTCCGCCGAGATGCTGATGAAGATAATGATGATGATGAAGCTGTGTAATCTTTTACAGGGATAATGATCGCCTCCTCGGGAGGGGTCGAGTAGGAATTTTTCTCTATTGGAGAGTTTTTGCCTACTCAAGGGACAGATTATTTTTAAACTTTTTACATTCTTAATAAATTTTACCTTTTTGCTTGAATTTTCCTTTTAATATTGTTGTGTTTTGCATATTAAACTTTGATTACTGAATTCCCTATCTGCAATGCATTCATGATGTATGTAGTGAAAATCTTTTTAGAAGTGCTATATGCTGATGTTTTTTATGTATAAGAGGGGGGAAATGTTAGAGTTACAATTATAAAATTATTGTGTGGACATAATTGATGAAAAAGCAGTTGTCCATGTGCAGACCATAAATATAGAGATCAGCCGGGCTTTTTGCTGCTGAGCAGACAGTCCCCTGAGTTCCTCTGAGTTCAGTCGGTCCGATCTGTGGAGGGACAAGGAGAAATTAGAAAGGATGGAAATATTCCTCCATAAGTTTTTACAGATGAAACCACCAAGAGTAAAAGTATAAACTTAGCATGGAAATTATAATGCCAACTCTGACCCATCTTTACAGAAATACATATTTTGGAGACAGGGAATATTGGCAACACAGATGGAGACTGAGGCTTTGCTCAAAAATGTATTGTCACTCCATAGGGATCCTTAATTAGAGAACAACTTTTTCAGATCCCAAACTGAAACAGATGCTGTCCTGTCACACAAATAACACCTGGTTCACAAACTGCTTCAATTCTAAATCAAACTCCGCACACATTTAAATGTTTCCTCACCATCATACTCCCACTTCATTGATCAACACAGTAAATCAATGTATTAAAAAAGGTATGAGGAATTCACACAAATTGCTGTAATGTGGCAATGGATGCTTTAACTATGCTGGAGACTTTGCAAACAGAATGTGAGGAAAGATATTCTTAGGGATTACCAATGCCTCCTGACCAAGGGTAATGATTGGTTATCAGCTGATAAGACTCTATATAGTATTGCTTTAGGATCTATGCAGTAAACTGGGTACAGCGTTGGAGGGATTGACCCATCGAACCCGTGTCATCCCTGTTCATTGCAAGTCCTAAAACATGAAGAGGTCAGTGAGCATAACTGATTTAGAAAAAAAAAATGAAATAAGTAGCTGGGTGCACTGTTCCAAAGAAAGCAAAAAATACACTTCTTGGCCCAAAAAACGTTGCCTCCTGGATTCAACTAAGCAAATAGGTAGAGCCTCCTGTTGGATAATTGCTACATGGGCGATTATCTTTCAGCTGGCAACAAGTTATTTAACCCAAACTGGTTCAATGACTTGCTTCTCATTTCCTAAACAACCATGTGGAAAGACACATCCCGTGGTCGTAGAAAAGATGTTAGTCTGTTTGAGAAGGGTCAAATCATTGGCATGCATCAAGCAGAGAAAACATCTAAAGAGATTGCAGAAACTACTAAAACTGGGTTAAGAACTGTCCAACGCATTATTAAAAACTGGAAGGATAGTGGGGACCCATCATCTTCAAGGAAGAAATGTGGCCGGGAAAAAATCCTGAATGATCATGATCGGTGATCACTTAAACGTGTGGTGAGATCAAATCGAAGAAAAACAACAGTAGAACTCAGGGCTATGTTTAATACTGAAAGTAAGAGCATTTCCACGCGCTCAATGCGAAGGGAACTCAAAGGATTGGGACTGAACGGCTGTGTAGCTGTAAGAAAACCCTAATCAGTGAGGCTAACTGGAAAAAAGGCTTCAATTTGCTAGGGAGCATAAAGATTGGACTGTGGAGCAATGGAAGAAGGTCATGTGGTCTGATGAGTCCAGCTTGTTCCAGAGTGATGGGCCAATCAGGGTAAGAAGAGAGGTAGGTGAAGTGATGCACCCACCATGCCTAGTGCCTACTGTACAAGCCTGTGGGGGCGGGGTTATGATCTGGGGTTGCTGCAGTTGGTCAGGTCTAGGTTCAGCAACAGGATGTGCTCAAAGAATGAGGTTAACTGACTCCCTGAATATACTGAATGACCAGGTTATTCCATCAATGGACTTTTTCTTCCCTGATGGCACAGGCATATTCCAAGATGACAATACCAGGATTCATCAGGCTCAAATAGTGAAAGACTGGTTCAGGGAGCATGACTCATCATTTTCACACATGGATTGGCCCCCACAGAGTCCAGACCTCAACCCCATTGAGAATCTTTGGGATGTGCTAGAGAGGGCTTTGCTCAGCGGTCAGACTCTACCATCATCAATGCAAGATCTTGGTGAAAAATTAATGCAACACTGGATGGAAATAAATCTTTTGACATTGCGGAAGCTTATCGAAACAATGCCACAGAGAATGCGTGCCGTAATCAAAGCTAAAGGCGGTCCAACAAAGTATTAGAGTGAATGACGTTTTTTTTGGTGGCAACTTTTTTTTTGGCCAGGCAGTGTATTCAAAGCTGCATTTGGCATTGGGTATTAGTCTGGCTGCCTCCATGCATTCACCAAGTTGGCCAAAATCCAATCTTTCTATGAGCAGTTTTTGTGGGCACAGAACATTTGGAACAGATGTGATGATGCAACATGTAGATATGGCTGTTACATTTTATATGGCGTGCAGTTGAGTCCGAGTACAATATCATGCAGCAGAGCTCTGCATATCTCAAAGATCACTTACTGTATTAAGCAAACTAGATCATGCATATGTGATTTAGAGCAAAACATATGAAAATAGCAAAAGTTGGAAATCTGCCTTTGACATGCCCACATTTAGCCAGCAGGTTCTGGCTAAATGTGGGACTTTGACTGGTTCTGGAGAACATCCAACACATATTCCAACACATATTCCTTCACAATCTGTTGGGCCTGTCATTTAAATTCCATATCAAAGAGGTTTCTAGAATTTCCTTCTTTCATCTGAGGAACATTGCAAAAAGTAGAAATCTCCTGTCCAGGGGTGATGCTGAGAAACTAGTCCATGCATTTGTTACTTCAAGGCTGGACTATTGTAATTCTTTACTATCAGGAAGTCCACAAACTGTAGTTAAAAGCCTTCAGCTGATCCAAAATGCTGCAGCCAGAGTTCTGATGAAAATGAAAAAGAGAGATCATATCTCTCCTATCCTGGCTTCTCTTCATTGGCTTCCTGTTAAATCCAGAATAGAATTTAAAATCCTCCTTCTCACATATAAAGCCTTAAATGGCCAAGCTCCATCTGATATCAGAGATCTGATTGTTCCTTATGTTCCTAACAGAGCACTTCGCTCTCAATCTGCAGGTTTACTAGTGGTTCCTAGAATTTCTAAAAGTAGAATGGGAGGCAGATCTTTTAGTTATCAGGCTCCTCTCCTGTGGAACCAACTACCAGTTTTAGTCCGTGAGGCAGACACCCTGTCTACTTTTAAGGCTAGGCTTAAAACTTTCCTTTTTGATAAAGCTTCTAGTTAGAGTGGCTCAGGTTATCCTGATCTATTTCTATAGTTACGCTGCTATAGACTTAGACTGCTGGAGGACATAGGGACCACGTCTCATCATTCAGCTTCATTCATTCTGCTGATCTGGTGAACTGTAAAGTGCCTTGAGATGACATGTGTTGTGAATTGGCGCTATTTAAATAAACTATATTGAATTTAATTGAACTGAACCTAGTTATTTGGTTATAGAGCTCAGCATAGGTTAAACACATGCTGGAGCATAAACAATTCTAGACTGACTCTGTTTCCATGCTTACAGCAGTTAGATTGAGCTCACCTCTTTGAGGATGAAGGTCCAGAAGTCTTAAAATCAAAAGGATGACCCATTGACTTGTTGCTTTTCAAGGACAAACAGCTGGACTTTGGTTCTAGTTCATGTTACAGTTTCTTTCTTTTGGGATTCCTAAGAGAAGAAAACCAATTAAAATATCCTCTGACCAGCTTTGCTTTAAAAAAAATATTACCAACGAGAGCTGTGAGAAAACAGAATTAGATCATAAACTTAATGTTCTAAATGATTTATGTAACAATTTATCCAGTTATTATCCTCCAACATGTTCCTGATCATTAATCCCCATAAGTATTTTGCAGCCTTGTTTAATGAGCAGAAAGAACAGTTTCTGAGAGGAGGTGGTTTGAAATGACAGAGGACAGTTTGCTGATCTTAGTGCTGATCTCTGACAAGTAGAATAATCCTGATAATTTTTCGCTCTGACTAAGAGGATGTTGTAGAGCTTTGTGAAGTTTTATTCTACATTCACAAGGCATGTGATTTCAGCAGCAAAACATCTTCTGCTGATTCTATTTTGATGCTTGTAGAGAATAAGGTCAGACACATCAGACAGTTTCAGGTGAGTGATCATAGCGCTCTGCTTCAGCAGCACTGTGTCTGTCTCCCTGCCAGCTCCCAGATCAGCTTCTCTGATTGGTTGATGATAATAAGAAGAGCTGATTCTGTTGCTCTAGAAATGCTGCAGGATCTTTAGATGTACCTTAATGCTTGTCAACCATAGACTTTGCATATTAAGTTGCTGTTCTGTTGCTCAGAGCTTGTTAGGTGTGAACGTAGCATTAGAGTTGTGTTTGTAATATACTGAGGTGGAACTAAAGCAGATTCATTACTGAGTCCACCATCGCGTTTATTCTAGATGCCTTTTCAGTAATGAAAGGGAAGCAGTTGTATCCATGCTGATCCTAACTCATACTGTTCTCAATTAGAACTAGAATCTCCAATTAAATTCCTTTTGTGAGTCATGGTTCTCTTCATATATTTACATAATATTCATTTTATTTAAATAGGGAACTGAACCTGTTTGATTTAAGATTATTTTTAGGAAGTAGTGGCCGTAATTTTCTTATTTTTTTGAAAGTAGAAGGAGAGGAAATGGATGCAGAGAAAGGGGGAAGACATGCTCAAAGTTCACCAAGCTGGGATTTAAACCTGTGGCAGCTACGTCGACAACGAAACCGTTGCAAACTCAACCCCTACACCATGCCAGTTGTTGATCAGCAGCCAGAGTTTTAACTAGGATTAAACTGCAATATCTGTAATTTATTTCAGATCCAACTGCATGATTCAATTGGATTGACTCTTTTTCTGTGTTTAAACTGGATGTTTTTCGAAAGTGTCTTCAGACGACATCTGTTGTGAATCGGAGTCAGAGCTTTACAGATAAAGTGGTTAGACCAAGGCTCTTTAAGTAGCTCAATAGGCTCCTCAGTGCTAGACTGAATATAATTTCTGACACACTAATGAGAAACAGACATTGTTTCAGACATTTGTGACATTGTGAATTGGCGCTATATAAATAAACTGAATTGAATTGACATTGTTCCACTAATCTTCTCCTCTTCTCCCCATTATCTATTGTTCTATTGGTGTGACCTTGGTTTCCAGAACAACCTCAGTCTAATTAATCCTTTCATTTTGTTCCTTTCATGAGTCCAGAGGAAAGCTGCTGAAAAAATGCAGGAATGTATTGGAAATTTGTGAATTTCTCACATCCAGAGCAGAGATAGGCAGATATTGAGTTTTTAGGGCCGATGCCAGTATGGGTTATGTTGACATTAGTCTAACAGATCCCAGATATCCTCTGGAGATCAATTTGGGCTGATCCTTTAGGCAGATACTTGTTCCACTTCCTCCATTTAGATGATGATAAAAAGTGTAAAAATGTCTCAATTTAAACAAAAAGAAATGTGTATTTACACATCAAGCAAGATGTTAACAATCAATACCATAAAGAGGGAGCAGCAATACATGTGCCTTATGCTATTTCATGATATGGTTGCTGAATGCACTAATAAATAAGCAAAAACATGCATGTATTTGCAGATTCCAAAGCAATAATAATAATATCTGCCAGAATTATCGCCTGGCTGAAGTATCAATCTATCTCTAATCTAGAAGTTGATTGAATTTTTAACATCAAGAAGCTAAAAACTGAGAATCAATAAAGTTGCTAGCTATAGGAAACTTTCTGCTACATTAGAACTGATTCTATTGAGACCCATTAGAGACCCAGTCAGTATCAGAATAGAGGGAACAGCTGGTTCTGTTGATCTGGGTCAATGTAAAGGTTCTTCCATCAATGTCTGATCAGCTGTCCTTATTTCTAGGATGAAGAAAGTTGAACACATGTTGGTCCAGGAAATGTGGTAAAAGTTGGTGAGTTTTTCTAGATGGTTTCTGCTGGAACCCAGAGCTCTGACTAACTGGTTGGTTTCACTCAGCTGGTTCTGCTGCTGGTCAGAACCCACTGGTACCGTACTGAGCTGGTTCTGTTCAGTCTGGATGAAGAACCACTGAGGAACAGCAGCAGCTTCATGACCAGGTCTGTTTGGCCTGATATAGTAAACGCTGTGTGAAAAGGACTGAGGACAGTAGGAGATGAAGATCTCACCTCTGAGCTTCATCTTCCTCACTCTGAGTGGTTTTAGAGGGAGGGGCTCCGTCCTCTCTGTCCTCACACTGATCCATGCTGCTGAATCCACATCAGCTCACTCACCTTCTACCTGCAGAGGAAACACAGATCATTGATCTGAACATCAGCTCTGATAAATCATTAATGTTGGAAAAAGATCAGCTGCTGCTCTGATTGGCATGAGGCCACCTGTCAACCAATCCTACAGGATCTTCAGCAATTGACTCATCAGCTAATGCAATTTGCCCCAAAGTAAAACAGACATCTTTTCAAACTGCCTGTGGTTTCAAGTGTACTTAAAGGGAAATTATATGCCAGCGGAAGGAAAACAATTCAGATGTGCATCACCTGTAATCATAGCATATTTTATATTCTTGTAATAAAACAGTAAAAGAAGGCAGGGAAACCTATTTTCCAAATATAATCATTAAGAGCAGAGGAAGCTATGGTTTTTGGTGGCTCCTAAACTTTGCAACTTCTTTCTTCTGACTCTTTAAATCAGCAGATTCAATAGTGTACTTTACTTCAAGCTAGTTTTATTTTATCTTATGGATATTGTGCATCTTTTAATTAATCTTTCTTTATATAGTATCTTTAAAGATTAAAATCACATGGAGCTCAACAAACCAGGTGTTATCACTGAAAAAATCAAAATCTAGATAAGTCATTTTTTCTTAAAATAAGTGCATTTTTTCTTGGATTGAGGAGATAAAAGAAACATTTTGCCAATGGAACAAGACAATTTACACCTAAAATTAGAAAACGCAATTGCATTGTCTTATTTCAAGTGCATCTAAATATCTTATTTTAAGAGTAAAATTGCTCATTCCATTGGCAAACCATCTCATTTACCTGCTCAAATTGAGGGTAAATACACTTAATTTAAGACATTTTTTACTCATTTTTAGATCGTTTTTGCAGTGTACTTACTACATACCAACCAGATTACTGACTGGATGACGTTATTTAGCTCTAATATAGGAAAAGAAATATAATTTCAAATTCTCCCTATTTTGCACATATGGTCAGATATGTAAGACATAAATATTAACATCCCTTTAAGAGGGGATCATCCTGAAACTGTGACTTTTAGCAGCAGTTTAGCAGGTTTATTTAACTAATCATAATTATATATCTATTCTCAATAATAGGACAATGTTTTATTCTGTTTTCTTTTAATATTTAAAAAGTATTGTGGATCCATATTTTTCATTGGCCTATTTGTGAGATAAAATGTTTTGAGTGTGCCTGCCTGACTAATTCCATTCTATTCAGTTTATTTCTATAGCTCCAATTCACATCATGTCATCTCAGGTCACTTTCCAGTTCACCAGATCATCCAGTCAGATTGATTCAAAGTTTTCTATCTAAGGAAAACCAGCTGATTGCATCGACTCATTGACTCTTCAGCAATCCCTCACACTAAGCATGCTTGTAGCGACAGTGGAGAGGAAAAACTCCCTTTGAACAGGAAGAAACCTCCAGCAGAACCAGGCTCAGTGTGAGCGGCCATCTGCTGAGGCCCACTGGGGTTCAAGGAGACAGAAGCAGACATAGAAAAAGAAGCATAGATACAAAAGGCAACTGTCAACCAGCTCCACAGGCGGCCCCGTCCAGGAAACACACAGCCAGGCAGACGAGCTCCGAGCCAGCTTCCATGTCAGAGGATGAAGAGAGCACATCCAGTTAGTCACAGTCAGAGAAACAGGTCTACACTGGAAAACAGGCCCAGCTCCAACATCTAGAAACAAAGGTGTTGATGGCAGCAGCACAGCTGATATTTCTCTCCAGGATGGAGTCACAGCCGAACAGGAACAGACCAGATGAAGCTACTATGAGAAAAAGCAGAGAGAGCAGAACGTTAGAGATTGAACTAACAGATTCTGCAGAGTGGGAGAATAGAGATAGAATGAAGCAGAATGATGAAAAAGGGGTCCCTATGTCCTCCAGCAGTCTAAGCCTATAGCAGCAGAACTATAGAGATAGATCAGGATAACCTGAGCCACTCTAACTAGAAGCTTTATCAAAAAGGAAAGTTTTAAGCCTAGCCTTAAAAGTAGACAGGGTGTCTGCCTCACGGACTAAAACTGGTAGTTGGTTCCACAGGAGAGGAGCCTGAGAACTAAAAGATCTGCCTCCCATTCTACTTTTAGAAATTCTAGGAACCACTAGTAAACCTGCAGATTGAGAGCGAAGTGCTCTGTTAGGAACATAAGGAACAATCAGATCTCTGATATCAGATGGAGCTTGGCCATTTAAGGCTTTATATGTGAGAAGGAGGATTTTAAATTCTATTCTTGATTTAACAGGAAGCCAATGAAGAGAAGCCAGGATAGGAGAGATATGATCTCTCTTTTTCATTTTCATCAGAACTCTGGCTGCAGCATTTTGGATCAGCTGAAGGCTTTTAACTACAGTTTGTGGACTTCCTGATAGTAAAGAATTACAATAGTCCAGCCTTGAAGTAACAAATGCATGGACTAGTTTCTCAGCATCAAATATTGTATAGCCACCATTCTATATTGTTTAAGGTAGGGGGACATAAAGCAGTTGCCTCCCCACTCTAGACAATGGTGAAGGGAAGGTCATGAGGGATAAGAATAGGTTTACATAGCCTCCTTCATGCCGTGAACAGTGAGAAAAAGTTCTTTAGTGCAGAGGGTGGGTGTTTTCAATGGGAGAGAGAGAGTGTGTGTTGGGATTCTGTAAAGTATAAAAGTATGTACTGAGGATGCCTAAGCCAGAGCTGTTTCTCTCCATCTGAGGATGTTAAATTAATTTGAACCTATTTCTTATAAGAAATGCCTCTGCCTCAGTTTCCAAAGTCCACGGTATGTTGCTTGTTTTTTTTAATGAATAATTGATAAATTATTCTACTGCTAAATTGTAAACCTAAAATATACAATTGTTAGTGAAACAGAATACTTCACTTTGAAGGATTTGGGACAATAAATAAAATTATTATCAGAACTCCAAAAACAAAAAAGCTCTTAAAAATATTTTACTTATTGCATGCACTTTTTACTCTTTGCATGTTTTTGTTTATTTAACGCACCTGGTTGTCTGTTTGCGAAGGTTTTAATGGGTTTTTTTCTAAAACCCATTAAATCCTTTAATATTTTTCTTAATCTTTGGGGAAAAGAACTAAAAACTTTTCTACTATCAGTCGACCAAATGGAGTCATGGAGAAACATTTCTAGTCTCTCTGATTCAATGCTAGGAACTATTATATTCTACAATCATGAAAAATCTAGTTGATTAAGAAGAGAATTTTTTAATAATCTGACTAAATTCAACGCATACTAATAGTGACGTATTATATAACATTTTGAATTAGCAGGATATTGCTGGGAGCTGGCGTCTCTGATTTTAATGGCAGAGAGCAGGGCTCAACACTAAGAAATAGAATGATGTGGGTTTGTTCAATATAGAAAACAAAATTATCTGCTTTTTATTACGTCGGTTGATTCAAGTTCATCAACATTCTAATAATCCCCCAGATTTTTCTTCAGACAACAGAGAGATGAAAGTAAACTTTATGCTAAAATAAAAACTGAACTTGTTCTCCAAACTTGAGACAATAGAAAAAACAGACAGGAAAAAAATAAACAAAGTTCTAGTTGGAAATAAAGCAAACTTACAGTTTTATCAAAGTTGAAGAACAACATCTGAGGAGCAGACTGAGGCCAAACTGAACAAGACTGCAAGCCTGAACACACCTTAATAGGTAAATCAGAAGTAACCAACTGGGACTTTGCATAACGACTGACGTCACAGCTAACTTAGTTGGTTCTTCTTTCAGAACTAAAATCAAGTCAGCGGGAAACCTGCTCTGAAAATTGGGACAGTTTGATAAAATCCTTGTGAGAATGAAGAGACATTCTGAAGAAAATGTTTCATGATGGCATCATGAGGAGATGTGAGCCCAGGGAACAGAGCTGCTTGTTGTTGTTTGCTGCAGTAACTGGGCGGACTGGCTAGACCAGTGGTTCCCTACCCTGTTCCTATGGTACCCCTCCTGTCCTGCATGTTTTAGGTGTTTCCTTGTTGCATCGCACCAGAAAATAACGGATGAATAACAGCCTTCTGCAGCACTTGATTGCAGAGGAGGAGCTGGCTCGGAGCTCGTCTGCCTGGCTGTGTGTTTCCTGGACGGGGCCGCCTGTGGAGCTGGTTGACAGTTGCCTTTTGTATCTATGCTTCTTTTTCTATGTCTGCTTCTGTCTCCTTGAACCCCAGTGGGCCTCAGCAGATGGCCGCTCACACTGAGCCTGGTTCTGCTGGAGGTTTCTTCCTGTTCAAAGGGAGTTTTTCCTCTCCACTGTCGCTACAAGCATGCTTAGTGTGAGGGATTGCTGAAGAGTCAATGAGTCGATGCAATCAGCTGGTTTTCCTTAGATAGAAAACTTTGAATCAATCTGACTGGATGATCTGGTTGAATTGTCTCTATAAAGCGCACATTATGGAAACACAATTTTTCACATTTGTTGTGAATTGGTGCTATAGAAATAAACTGAATTGAATTTAAATGAGGGGTGCCAAGATCACATTATATTAATACAGGAAGTGATCAGTCTGAGTGAAATTATCCTGAATTTGAGCTTTTTTTTTTAATTAGGGCAATGCACATTTATCAACATGTCAGCCTAAAGCATTAATGTAAACATGCCAGATAAAAACAATGAACATTAATCAAGAGGCTACAGGAGAGAACAGAGTGGAATCAAACAGATAAGATGCCACTAACAGAACATCACAATAAAATGAGGTTAAAAGGCTGAGGAAAACAGATCAATTCACCTGTGAACATGTGAACTGGTAAGTTTTATACCAATGTTTCAAGGAGATTTTAAAACTTATGTAGGCTGCAAAGCCCCTAGCTTTTAAAATGATGAAAGACCTGAAATGCAGCCCTGAGTATACAGAAATACCTAAATGTCTTTTCAACTTAAATACAACTTTGTATTTTTTCTGTTGAAGTTCGTTCAGACTTTTTGCTTTACATGATCAATGATCCTGTTAGGATAATTATCATTGATGATGTATGAGTTTATTACACCTTAATATTAGCTGCCTGTTGCGTTTTAGAAC